AGTAACAATAATATTATCATGCTTTTTTCTTATAAAAAAAACTATGTTCATTCAAATTATTTTGATATAATATATTTATTTATTCAATAAAAGATTCCAGAAACATAATTTCAGAATTATATTATATAATGTGCTTCCAAAGTTAATATCTAGAATGTTTAGTTCTGGAATTTAATTTTCGAAAGGTGTTGACAGAAAAACTCCTCGTTTGTCTGAAGCTACTTTTGGGTGAAAGGCAATGAGAAAACTATATGAAATTAATAAATAACTTACCTTGATTGAAGAGAAGTCAGAAAGTGAACAGAGGAAGGGAAAGATAATTTAAATTTGTAATAAAGGTATTTAGAGTTGGTATTAGAGCAAGGTTGTGAATTTCGTTGATTCTCTATAAGAGATTGATTCTCCATTAAAGTTTTCCCCAAATTACATGAACCCTAGGTATTTTATATAATGGATTGACATTATTTTGATGTTACATAATTGTTTTGGATTCAATAACTGAAAACCTTAAGGTTTTGGAAGCTAGAAACATTAGATTTTGAATATGAATATGAGCAGGACCATGTATCAGTGAGCAAGGTCATATATTAGTGAGCAGGGTCACACATCAAGAACAAGCACGGCCATGCTTCAACGAAGCATGGCCTTGCATAATGGTAAGCACGACCATGCATTAATTATAAGCACGGACATGCTTCATCAAAGCACGACCATGCATCAAGTAAAAGTACGGTCGTGCATAGTAATTTTACGGCAGAATAAGGAAAATGATTCATAAAATGTATAAATAATTTAAGAATTACATCAAAGTGAATTTTAATCACTAAAGTGATTAAATTCTCAAGTCAATTAATTTTAAATTACATTATCATAATGAGAACTTCATAATTTAGTGCTTAATTTTAAGGGTAGCTTGTTAGTCACCAAAGTGACCTGGCTTTAAAAGTTTTTTAAGCATTTAATTGTGTGTTGTAAATTGTTCAAAATTGTTTGATGCTATATGGAAACAGAGTGAACAATTTAGCTCATTAATTATAACGTCAGGAGATCGCCCAAAGGTGGATCATTGCATATGATTAATGACATTAATGAAACATGTAAGCACTTCATAATATGTTTGTATATCCAAAGATGACTTGCATATTGGTTTGAGTGACTGGTTGTCGATTAAAGTTGTTTATTAGCATCATTATAGATAAATTGTGTATTTAGGCATTATCCAAAGGTAAACTTAGATGCATAATTGATAATGGTTAGCTGTCTGAATCTATTAAGTTTATTCAAAGCATAAATGTTTAAGCATGTATTAAATATTTCAATCCCTATGAATATGTATGGCATGAGCAATAGCATAGTCAAGTTCAATGGGCTCAATTATGATTGGGTTGAACAAGTTCGATTCCAGCTAGGTGTGGTGAAACACGAAAGGTGGAAATTAAAGAGACACGTGCGAAAACTCCTGTAGTTGGTATTTCTTCTCTAGTTGTTGTTCCTCTTTTTGTATTACGGTCACACAACATAAGGAGACAACAAGTTAATGTTCCAAACCCATAAGAACAACAAATAGAAGATGAACCAGCTAAAAATGCGCAAGTCACAAATGAACAAGAGGAAGGTGAACCACAAGAGATAACATTAAGGAGGTCTGTAAGGCAGAAAAGACCTGCTATTTCGAATGACTATGTGGTTTACTCACTTGAGCATGAATGTGACTTAAGTATTGATGAGGATCTAGTTTCATTTAAGCAAGCCATGGAATGTAACAATTCTGAAAAGTGGTTGAATGCCATGAAAGAAGAATTAAAATCAATGAGTGACAATAAGGTATGGGATCTAGTCGAGTTGCCTAAAGGTTCAAAACGAGTTAGTTGCAAATGGGTCTTTAAGACCAAAAGTGACTCAAAAGGCAACGTTGAGAAATACAAGGCTAGACTTGTTGCTAAAGGATACACTCAAAAGGATGGCATAGATTATAAAGAGACCTTTTCTCCAATTTCAAAGAAGGACTCTTTAAGAATTGTTATGTCTTTGGTGGAGTCCACCAAATGGATGTAAAGACCGCCTTTCTGAATGGTGACTTGGAAGAGGAAGTTTATATGGATCAGCCAGATGGCTTCATGACCGCAAATAAAGAAAGTATGGTGTGTAAGTTAAAGAAATCAATAAATGGGTTGAAACAAGTTTCCAAACAATAGTATCTTAAGTTCAATGATACCATCACGTCATATGATTTTGTAGAAAACACCATTGATCGGTGTATCTATATGAAGATCAGTGGGAGCAAGTTCATCATTTTAGTCCTATATGTTGATGACATTCTTCTTACTACTAATGATGTTGGGCTATTACATGATATAAAAGAGTTTCTCTCTAAGAACTTTGAGATGAAAGATATGGGTGAGACTTCCTATGTGATTAGAATAGAAATATTCTGTAATAGATCACAGGATTACTAGGATTGTCTCAGAAAAGCTACATCAACAAAGTATTAGAGAGATTCAAAATAGAAAAGTGCTCATCAAGGGTAGTTCCAATTCAAAAGAGAGACAATTTTAGTGAAATACAGTGTCCCAAGAATAAGTTAGAGCGGAAAGCAATGAAATTTATTCCCTATGCATCAGTGGTCAAGAGTTTAATGTATGCTCAGACATGCACTCGGCCTGATATCAAAGTAATCCCAGAATAGACCACCGGAAGGCTGCAAAGAAAGTCCTTAGGTATTTACAAGGCACGAAGGACTACATGCTTACTTATAAGAGATCTAGTCACATGGAAGTGGTTGGCTACTCGAATTCAGACTATGCTGGATGTGTAGACTCAAGGAAATCGACCTTTGACTACATCTTCTTGTTGGCTGGAGGTGCGATTTCACGGAAGAGCGGAAAGGAGTCCATTATTGCTATGTCTATCATGGAAGCGGAATTTGTGGCGTGCTTTGAGGCCACTATTTATGCTTTGTGGCTGCGGAACTTTGTCTTAGGGCTTGATATTGTTGAGAATATAGAAAAGCCGCAAAGAATGTACTGTGATAATTCTGCAGCTGTCTTCTTCTCTAAGAATGATAAGTATTCAAAGGGACTAAAGCATATGGACTTAAAATACTTATCAGTGAAAGAAGAAATGCGGAAACAAAAAGTGTCTATTGAGCATATTGGGACTGATTTAATGATAGCAGATCCGCTAACTAAGGGATTGCCCCCTAAAATGTTTTCTGGCCATGTTGGAAGAATGGACATTATAGACAAGTCCTTGTTAGTATAATTGTGTGATTCATATATATGTGTATAGATTGATTTGCTCATATTATTGCAAACATTTTGGGAATTCAATAAAAGTATTGTTTCTGCTTGTTTACTTGTTATCTAAATTGTGTTAATGTATATGTATGGTTTGAGTTTAATAACAGGTTGAGTGTTAAAAACACATCAGAGTTACAGTCTGTAGTATAACTGATTAAAGCTATTTTGACTTGGGTTGCTTCTATGATACTTGGAAGGAATCATGTCGTCAAATGACTTGTGACCGCCATGATCTGATCAACTTAAATCATTAAAAGATAATGAATTGATATTATCAATGATATGCGCACTTACAGTTTATTGAATCTTCAAGTCGTCACATAGGCCAAGTGGGAGATTGTTAGATTATTTTAATAATCTTATTATAGTGGCCTATGTAACTTATAGCATAACTTTAATTAATGATTTAATGTGATGGTGGTCAAAAATAAAATATAGAGTCATTGAGGGTATAATTATAAATACAATTATAAGGAAACTCTTCCCTCTCCCTTTATATAAATTAAAGAACGATTACCAAATAGGGGTTACAGTATTCTCTATTTTTTTACTTTCACAGTCTCTGAGTGAGCTCACAGTAAACGTAAGAAAGAAACTTTCTCTCAACCAGAGGAGCTAAAAGAGGAAGGAAAAGTTAAAAAAAATACAAAGGAATCAATGACATCAAAGAGAGAGGTAACATCAAGAAACAATAAATTCAAGTTAGTGCTTTCTAAACCCTTGATTGTATGAAAATCATATATTGTGTTGTGAAAACAACATAATTCAAGATCACACAAGAGAAAAGGTAATTTCATAAAGATCATTGCATAATGAAAATTAAATAATAGATTAAAGAAAATTCTAACATTTAAAAACAAAAATTATAAAAATAAAATTATGAAGGTCCAAATAGAAAGAAAAAAAAAAAAACTGAGTGCAAATAGCAAAGCCCCTCGTCTAACGGTCTGTCTATAAATTTTTCACTTTGAGAAAGCCCTTACTCTAAGAGGTGTCTCCCCTCATTTGCTTTTGCAATAGGTTGTCACCAATAGGTGATTCAATGGAGTCAAAACTATTATTCAAATACATGCAATCGAATCTCATAACCAACATGTTGTGTGTTGTTATAATATTACATAATTGAATGAATGTGTTTAATTTTTCTCTCATTCATATTTCGCAATATGTGTATATGTTATTATGATACCTATATATAATCTTCTGGTTTAACATTATATGATATTGTTAGTTCTACTTTATTTAGTATAAAACTCAAGCGAATCCCTTGAACAACTAAACTTTTATATCTGTCTATAATTTTTGTTTGTAAGTTCAATTACTTATTTGATATTGTTAGTTCTACTTTATTTGAATTGTTTAGACTAAATAGGTCCAATTTGATTCACAAAAATAGTCTCATCTCTCTATTGCTCATTGGGTAACAGGGACTTCACCAAATGACAGTTTCTGATCTGTAAGATGCCATTACATTCACAACTACAATCCACACTCCAGTTTGGTAAAACTTCTTATAGGTACTTAAAAAATAAATCAAACTTCTCCTAAAAGATAAAATCAAGCCATGTACTTCATTTTATGAATAAATTAAATGAGAGAACTTCTCAAATGCATGAATTAATTTTAACTTTTTACTAAATTTATCCAAACTATGTGTATATCTTTTTTTACTCCAAAGGAGGAAAGTTAATTACAGCTGGGACTATAAAATAGACATATGTTATATAGTATTTAACGTGCAGAATATCAAGGTATTAAACACCAAAGAATCCCGACCCAACAATTAGATCAATTCGGTCATTTACATTCCAAGCAAAACTGAGCTTGATGCAGACAACAAGCATTTGAATGAAACAACACAACACAGATAATTCAGATGCAAAGACACAGCACAGAAACTGCAATAGTAAAACTAAATAATTACATGAAATTGATATTTTTTTTCTTATTTTTGGTTTAGCTACTTCTAGAACACTCACAATCACACTACCTAACCAAACCCGATCATGAAGGACTTCCTTGTAGGATCTTCACACGCAATGTGTGAACCTGTGTCTCTTAGTTGCCCAAACCTTGGAACCTCAGCATCTGCTGGTAATTTTTGAGGCTGTGGATAATGAAACTTTTGTCCCATATTCAAGGCTTTTGAGCTTTCTTCATTTCCGCATTTACTTCCAATTACTTGTTGCATAGAGTTTATTGATGATGTAAGAGGACTATGTATGTTAAACTCCATGTTGTTGAACATAAGATTTGCAATTACTCTATCAACACTGTTGGTCTCTGATTCCATTGGTTTCTTGTGCTGAGACCTAACCACAATTTAACATTTGAATCAAGAGGAGTGATAATTAAAACATCACGGACAAGGATAAACAAGACCATATTCTATGCACACGGTATATTGATATCTGGAATTAAGCCCAACACTTCTAGCTTTTACAATTTATTGAAAGCTTCAACTGATTGTTAAACTAAATTTTAATGTATAAACTAAACAGAATTATCTTTGATACTACTGCTTTTAACTAGCAGATAATCTGACTGAAATTAAAGTTGGATGTTTAACCATTAACAAAGTAATAGCAATATGTTCTTGAAGTAAATCCGACAATCAGTTCAGCAGAAGTTTTAGTCAACTAGCCTTTTCCTACTTATATGTGCTTTACTGTTTCACCATTAACAATTTATAATGCATCGGAAAAAGGAAAGAAGAACATAACAGACATGCACCAGATCTAAATCATGTACCTCACAATTTCATTGTGATCCATATGTGGCATTGCCTTTGGCATGTTAAGATCTCCATGTTGGTCTAGCGCTACATCCTGTTGTTCAGTGTTTCTGGCAAGACGGTACAGGGCATCTCGGAAGCAAATACGGTTCCTCTCAGTAAACTTGTCATGTGAAACAAAAATAAATTAGAAAAAATTATTAATACAGTTAATTATATGCCAAGGATTTGTGTTCAGACTCCACCTGGCCAATTATCATCTCAAGATCCTTCAGTATGAATTCCTCAAGTGATGACTTCTCACTCATGCCATCATCATTACTGCTCTGTTCAAAAGAGTCCAAGATGTTGACTGGCAGTGCCTTAAAGAAAAATTAAATAAATTACATTACACTGTCAGCCCTGAAAGCAGAATATATATTCACCACAAAGATTAATGCTCATTATGTTGTGAAGATTTAACAAAAGAAAATAGAGAAGAACATGGTTGCTGCAGGCACCAAAATCTGTAGTAATACACGAGAGTTCTAATAGATCCTTGAGGGCTCATAAAATCATGTCTGGTTAAAAACTACAAAATGCAGTAGTAACTAAAAATACTGAAAAATTATTATGAAAAAAATTATTACCAAGACAATGCATAAAAAAAAAAAAATACTCCAGTACGTGACTTGCAGGCCTCTTTAGATTTGATAATTGCTACAAGACCTATGTGACTTGCAGATAACAGCAAGCTTGCAAATATTACCAAAACGTATGTGTGCGTGCATGCGTGCGTATGTGCATGTGTGCGTGCGTGTGATTGTAGACTATTCATGAGATGTTGAAGTTCTTATCTGTCATGATAACTCATTTTTTTCGTCTTACATTGTTAGAAAGAAAGCAATTGTCACCTTTGTATCTGGGCAATCCTTAGATTCTGAGCTGCATGAAACATACTTTGAAGCTGCAATATCTTTCTGCAATATACCTGATGGAAACAAGACATTTATTTTGAGATATTTTGTACTCCCAAGTCGTAAATATTTTGAGAAATATTTGTTTACAATAAATTAATGTCTTAAAAAGAATGATCACCAGGTGCACCGCTACATTGATGTTCAGGAGAAATGTTGGTGGATTTGTCTAGGTTTTCATCATCAACACATGGCAGATCTTCAGGTGTAGGATCCCTGAATTATGTTAAACAAGTGAATGCTGTAACATCAAAAGACATTCTTTCCAATTATACAAACTAAATGATTATGGTAAAACAGTGAAAATTGAATGGCTCTGTTGTGTTACATGTGTAATGCAAGATGAAAAATAAAACCTTCCATGAGCCCTTGCATGCTATTACAGGTTCATGATATAGGGTATGGAGAACCATAAGTATGATTCTCTTTATAGGGTCCAATCATAAAGATAACTCGAGAGAAATTGACAATGCAAAAACACCACAGAGCAATTCAATTTGCACTGGACTTCCTACAATTAAGTGTATACTTTTTTATCAAGTTAATTACTTCAGAAGCTACATGATTATCCTACAGGAAAAAAGAAAAAAAAAATCAAGTATCTCAATCCCAGAGGTTAAGCTTGTACAAGAAAATGTCATTCATCGGTTCGAATCGTGGTAGATCCTGAAGCTGGTAATTATGCTGATCACATGAAAGTGCTGTCTGTTGAAAAGATTGCTCAGGCAATCCCCCACATACACTTGAACTGCTAGACTGATCTTTATCATGCAGAGATGATTCAAGCTCAATTTGATTATTGAAACTTTCTTCAATGAAATCCATGATAAAAAAATTTTTAGGTGAATTAAAACCTTCAGTTGCACTTATTCCCCAGTTTGACCAACAGTCTGGTGAAGGATGCCTGTCCAATAAATCCTGATCTTTGGGAACAAGATAATCATTAACGCCGCTTCCATAGTACCAATCCATAGCCTAATATCTGCACAGTGTTAAATAAAATGAAGCTTAGCATGAAGAAAATGGCCTTTGTAATACGAATGTATGTGCAGAATTTGTTGTTGCACATACATAAACCTTGCTTGATTAACATGAAAAGGGGTATTACAATATCCTATGCTCCTTCTATATGACAAGTACACAACATCTCTCTCAGGGGAAACGAAGCAACAAGCAATGTCAAGATCCTCTTGTTATGAAAACTTCATTCAACATGGATTCTAAGAGAAACACAATATCAAAATATTTTCAAGTAAAAGTGATAGACTCAAGAAATCTTTGAAAAACCAAAAATCAGCCAAAAAGAAAGTTCAACTTGATGGTCTTGTAGCTATATATAAAAATGCTCATAAATCCTTTGGTCACAGATAGTGTAAACAAGAAAAGTATGCAGGTCAATATTTCCTTCTATATCCCTTTCTCTTCCAATATCATTTTCTTAAAGCACAAGGACCCACCTCATTTAAGCTCTATATCGTTCAAATCAAGTATCAAAGAGAGAGAAGAAAAAAAATATATCATACCAAACAAGAAAAGAACATGAAACAACAACATGATCAGAGAAACTGGCTCAACAGTCAACACTACACATGATTTCCATCCACAGTAAACCACAGATTCTTCAAAAGCAAAGAATACAGAACCATAACTCAAAATACTACCAGATACGCAAATAGACAAAAGAAAACAGTGAAAGTAGCATACCTTAATAAGGTTTATCTGCAAAGAGAAAGAAAACCCAGTTTCCAATCGATGAAAACAATAGAGAAATTTGTTGATACAACAAATGAACACAAGTCGTAGGTGGGTTGATAGAATTTATGAGAGGCGGCTATGGTTTTGGGTTGGCAAAGTTTCCATTTTGTCGAATTGAAAAGGGTGAAAAGAGTGAGGAGGTTGGAACTTGAAGGTGGTGGTGTCCTAGAATGACTTAAGAAGCAACAGAGTTGTGTTTGTAAATAAAAAACAAAAGACACGTTATGGGTTTGTGGCTGTGAATGTTCTGGTCCTGAAACATTTGTGGCCTAAATTGCTCCATCTAAAGCTGCGTAATCATTGGTCCATGTGTCAGTACGAGGTTTCATTTTAAGATTTCGTGCTTCTTCGGGATCTCACCATCTTGCATCTGATGCCAAGAGCCCATGTGCGCTGCGTTGGAATTTGCTTCCGATTAAGCCCCGCCATTATTTTCTTTCAATAATATTTTTTTAATTTACGTAAAAAGCTATACAATAAACCCTTATATTAGCTATATATAGTATTTTTATTATTAACATTATATTATAATGTATTAATAATATTAACCATCACAATTTTTATTATGGATCGTTAGATTACATGGAAAATTTGTTAATATTTTAAATAAAACAAAATAATTCATAATTTTAATTTTGAAATTTTTTTTATTTTTTTAATATATGCAAAACTACAAAGAATAAAAACTTATATATGGTAAAATTTTGTTAAAAAGTACAGGATTTTACATTATTAATGTATTAATACTATTAAATGTTACAATTTTCTATAAAAATTTATTTTATATAATTTTTACCTGTGTAAAATGAATAACTGTGAGAATACATTTATAAATTAACAGTACATAGAATTAAATTCTAAAAACTATTGCATTATACAGGTAGTTTTAAAGTAAAATATATTTTTTATAATAAATAAGACTAAATTAAAATAATGAGACTTTTAAATGCATATTATATTTATTGAAATGATCTATCAAAATTAAAATAAAAAATTTAGTTGATTTAAATAAATTCAAATTATAATAGTCTTAAAATTTAGTTTATTTCGATATAAAAATAAATAGTTTATTTGAAAGATATTGATAATTATTTTTGTTTAACAACACATCTTTAATTTGACATAATGTATCAATGTTTGAAATTTAAATTAATTTAATTTTTACATCAAATATTGTAGATACAACATTTTTTACATCAAATATTGTAGATACAACATTTTTTACATCAATATTTCCTAGAGAAAAAAACACTGTAACTAGTTTGTTAAATATTTTTACATCAAATACAACATTTTTATTTTTTATCATAAATTCTCGTAAATAATATTGAAAAATTAATCTTTGATTTGGAGTTGTAATTAGATAAAGTCACTTTTAATAAATGTCAATTTATGCTTATAATTATAAATAAAAAATTGCAAATGTTAATGAATGTGTTAAGAATATCGGTTAAGATATTAAAAGTAAAAAAAAGTTATTATTGTTATTATATTTTTATCATAATTTTTATGTTTTCATTAATATCTTTGAGATAATAATAAATAAATAAGACGCTAAAATATTTAATATCATTTAATAAAATATATGAAACATATTTAAGATGGCATACAATTTATTGGTATATATAGCAAGACGGGTGGAAGAGTTTGGGACATACAGAGAGGATTAGACGGTGGACATGGGGTTTGGTTTACGAGACACGTGGCTGAGCTCATGGCACGTGGATTTTGGGGGAAGTACGAAGCGACGCTTGAGTGCATTGCTGCAGAAACTTTTATTGATCCTATGCGACGTATTTTATTTTAAAATAAATATATATACACTAAAATTATTTTAAATAATAATTTTTTAAAATTATTTCAATTTAACTTTATAATTACCAAAAAAATTATAAATATAACTATAAGAATTTAAAAACTTATATAAATTAATAAAGTAAATCAATAATAATTTTACCTTCATATTTTACTAAAATTTATAAAAAAATAATTACAACAAAAAATAAAAGTATAATTCATACATCATTCTCAATAATAAAAAATTGTACGTGGTTAATTATAAAAGAGAATAAGTTAAACTAATATCTCATGAAATTTTTTTACTTAATAAATTTTTTATAAATCTAATTATAAAAATTATTAAAATAAACTGCAAGTATATTTAAGATAAAGAAAATGTAAGGTGTTAAATATATTAAGTTGATAAAGAATTATAAAGAATAACAAAACTTTCATTATAATAATTAATTAAAATTTAATAAGATAAAATATTTTGTATTAGTCAATTCGTATGAGATAAATTTAAAAAAATAAATTAGATAAAATATACTGTAAATCAATATTCACATATCGAAGGTTTTAGTTATAACATTATATATTACATTTACACATCATTATCTAAAATATATTAAAATTACAGCAGTTCATACTTATTCTTACATACTAAGGACCTGAAATTATTCGTCTATATTATGTCATTCCTCAATTTCTGCCAAGTCCTCAGTTATCATCCTCTCTAAGGTAAACATCACCAGAGTTCACCACCATTTCTAACTAGGGAATCTCTCAAATGTGTAGTTATTAAGCTTTCCTAACAAATCATGATCATGATAAGTAAATATATTATTCATGATCTAAGAAGACCTTTTTATTCCCTTATATATAGATAAAAACTAAGAGATTGCTGAATTTGACCACTAGTGGAGATATCAAAAGGAACTGCATAATTATAGACTACTTCTAATATATACTCTTGATCATCCTCAAAACACACTTTAAAATTTAAATGTATTACACGTCTATACTCTTTAAAAACATAATTTAACCTACTACTAACATAAACATCTACTGCTCTAATCTGTGATGAAACGAATTTAGCTATATGCAAAAGATTATCGTTAATCATCATCAAATATGCAAGAAATGAATGCAATACCAGGGTGTTATCCTAGGTTGTCTCCAGGGAATTTTTGGTTGGGAACATACATCGAACAAGTGTAAACATGGATTTTAAAGCAAATAAAATGGGGGGAATTTTTGTTAATTTCCAGATTTAAATCAAGAACGAAATGTGAATTAATGAAATTCAATCAATTAAAATGAGTAATTCCTAGTCAATCAATGAGTTCCATCATTATTCTTTCAAATGATTCAATAATCCCCTTTCTTTCCCTTGAATTAAGTTAATCTAACAAGCGAAAATTAACTTTAACATCCCAATTAAAATTAAGCATCTTAATGGGCTCCAATCTCTATCCCTAAGATTAAGCAACTTCAAAGATTAATCAAAATTAAGCAATTTTGAATTAGAATTTCGTTGGGTAATTTAGGGTTAATTAAGCAATGTTCCCTTCATGCAAATTCCATTTCATTCAAAGATTGGGGTCAATAAATTCAAGGAAAGAAATATTTGTATTGCAATTAATCCCAAAAATTCAAGATTCATGTGCATTGACTAGGAATTACAAGGAAGTTTAGCCCTCCATGTGGATGGGCTTCACAAATGAAAGAAAGAAATGCAAGAACGTAACCAGCATTAATGTAAATTCAACAAAAATCAAAAGAGAAATTGGAAATTAAAACCTATAGAGGACCCTTGGCTGTCACCCAAGACTCTAATGTTCTGGCAAATTGTCTCAATTTGGCAAAGGAAAAATGTGTAAAGTGTAAAAGTCCCGTACCCTAATTCATAAAATCTATTTATATTGGATGCCATGTCAGCAAAGTGTCCACTTTTTGCTTTGAAAGTGTCCACTTTGGGCCAAAAGAGTGTCCACGCACAAGATGAAAGGTTTGCTACTTCTCTGGAGTTGCCACTTTTTGTGCAGAAAGTGGCTACTCTGGTGCGCGTGGCCACTCTTAGAGCCAATAGTGTCTAGCGCAGAAATGCTTCCCAAACGGCGTCCTGGAGCTCCCTGGAGTGGTCACTATGAAAGGCAATAGTGGCTACTTTGGGTCCTTCAATTTCCAAACTTGCTGTAGTTGCCACTTTTGCTCTTGAAAGTGGCTACTTTGAAGCCAACCTTCATCCAAGCGCCAAGATTTCTCAAAAATTAACTTGGGGACTCTGCAAAATTATTAAGAAAATTAAAATTGCAATCTATATCTATGTAATTAAATGCAAATTAACTAAAAATTAATAAACATATGATTTTTACTCAAAATGTAATTTGTGTACTATTTACACTATATAAGTCTAATTTTTCTATTAAGGAAAACTAAAAAGACAAGTAAAAACATGATAAAATGTGGATTCATCACAACCCCAAACTTAAACTTTTGCTTGTCCTCAAGCAAATCAAAACTCAAGCAAATTAAATGAGAAGAGTTGGATTTATCCAAAAAAAATTGTTTTTTTCAAAAAAAAAATTATTTATTTCAACTTCATGCTTTAATTGGCAATTCCAAAATTTTCACAATCATAGATTCATTCAACAGAGAAATCACATTCATGTCAAATATTTCATACAAAGTCCCACTAAATTGAAACAAAAGAATCAAGCAAGACTTCATGTGACTCACATAATGCAAAGAAACTATCCAGCTCACAAGGTGGTGTTTCACTCATCACTCAATAACATTTCAGGCTAAGTGTTTTCCCTTAATTCATGCATTTTATCTCACCCTACCATAGGCTTGCCCATATCCTTAATCTCCTTTGCCTAGACACAATGAACCACCTATCATGAGGGCTTTGTTAGTCACAAATGGGGGTTATGATAGGTTCAAATTTAATCAAGGAGGGTCACAAGATCAAGTGGGTATTTAAGAGGAGGAAGTTCTTTTGAGTGATTTAGTACAACAACTAGAGTAGAATGCCTTAAATGATGTAGCTTAAGAGGTTCAAGCATTCTTTCACCACATTTTTCATTAATTTGCTTTATGTGGGCATCTTTCTCAACTCAATTGCCTTGCTATGTTTTTCTTTCTTTTTCTCTTTTTCATTCATTCATTTTTATTTTTTTTTGATATCATGGACTTTGACAATCATTATTTTCTTCTTCTTCTTCTTTTCTTTTTTTTGACATGTATTATTAACATGTATGCTGTCCACCACCCCAAACTTAAGATGTTGCTTGTCCTCAAGCAACTACACTCATAATCTGCACCCCAAACTTAGTTGCTTGCACTAAATCTTGAGGCAACTAAAAAGAAATGCCTCTCTTAAGGA